CACACACACACACACACACACACACACACACACACACACACACACACCTGACATATCAGATTTGTTTTCAGTGACCCCAAAACCTACTATCACGTGTACAAGTTACGTGTCTTCCAAGTTTAATCAGCACTTCGATATTAATGAATTTTTATCTCGAAAAGGATGCGTTATATCGAAAAATTGCAAGAAAGTATTTATACTTCAAATTTGACGCAGAATATGACCATATTTTTTTCAATTACAAATTTTAAGTTATAACTTTTTATTATGTGACTCTCTGCATTCTAGGCGCCATATTAAGGCCGCTATTTTAAATTTTTTTAAATGCGCTTTCGGTATTCGAAAGCTTATATGTTTACATAAATTTTGCACCCTAAAAAAATGTTTAAACCCACTCAAATTTTGGCCACGGCGCTGTTCCGGTTGACATGGAATGTCCCATATATATATATATATATTTATATATATTTATATATATATATATATATATATATATATATATATACTAAATCAAGAAAAAACAGTAATTGCTAAGTTCTACCAACAGTAACTTATCAATTTGAGTGACAAAATCGAGCAAGAAAAGACTATTTACTGGTAAGGTAAACGTAAGATTAATTATTTTGCTTCATGATAAAATCGTCCACACTTTGTAAAGATGACAAAGAATGTCATCTTCACTTTGAGCTGAAAAATTCTTCCTCGCGCGGCTTATTTATATCGAACATAGCTCTTTAGATTATCATTTGTTTCGATCGCTACGACATCATTTAACGAATACACACTTCAAGACAGTTGTCCAAAAATGCCTTTATCATAGTTTTATCGTCTCAAAACCGCCAAGTCTTTATCGTGACAACATTAGCAAGCTGCTCGAAAAATGTAAGATCATTAAGAATAATGGAGAATATTTTGATGATCGAATTCTTTTATTTATTTTCAATAAAATTTTCAATTTATTCAGAAATCGGAAAGAATTTATTTCTATCAATTATTCAAACATTTTTTGTTATATCAGTAAAAAAATAACGCTTTGTTACGGCTCTGTGCTCTTTTTTTTTACTAACGTTGATTTTTAATTATTTAAGCTTCCTAAAATTATTTTTGAAGTGAAACTTCTTTAGGCACGGTAGTGAGTTCGATTTGCAACACAAAATTACGAATTTTGCGACACAAATTTTGGGACACAAAAAGTATAACGAAAATTCGACTAATAGGCGTATGGCATTGGCGAGACGGGTCCTTCTTTTGACACGGTAGTAAGTTCGATTTTGCAACACGAAACTCGAAAGTGTAACGAAAATTTGACTAATAGGCGTACGGCACTGGCGAGACGGGTAGAGTGAGAACTGCGTGTAATACATTTTCGAGTTGCAGGCGGCTGCGTAGAGTGACTGATGCCGTTGTATTGTTTTTGTATTAATTTCAGAAAAGTTATGGCAAAGCCCTTTCCTTCAGAAGTTTCACTTCTAACACGCGTGGCGACCACGCGTTTATTTTTTTTTGTTATCTTTCCGTTTACGACGAAGCGATACGGTAATACCGCGACGCCAAGTACATAAAAAATAATACTATGTCCAGTACAGCTATGTTCCATCACGACGTGGTACCACTAAACTTAAAAGTTTTCACGTCAATCAACTTTTTAATTAAAATATCTCAGAAGCTATAGGCATGATAAATATATGTAACGACATTTTTCTTATAATAATATCGCGCATGTAAATTGCAACCAGTCTGATTCAAATCGGTGCAATCAATTTTGACATCTCGAAATCTCAACAGTAAAATAGTCACTTTTTTTGTGAAATGAGATTCCGTCAGACGTAAGTATACACGCACACACACAAAGCGAGTTTGTCCCTCAAGTCTTTGTTCCTCGCAACCTCAAGACCCGTTCGGAACTCTCATGTTCGTACATATTTGGATGTATTGACACATATGAACTTAAACACGTGTACATTTTCCTGTACATCTTTTAGCGGTCTCACTGCTGTTGAATCGCATATTTGAATGTATAATGTACATAATAAGCATGTATAATACATTGTTTTTTTAATGCGTTCACAATGCGGATGACAGTTAATGATGTCGTAATGTTAATGAATATTTTAAGAATAAAAACTTGTTGAGAGAGTAGTTTAACAGCTTATTGTTACTTTTGAATTTTTAATAAACAAAAATTTCTATTTATTTTTCATTTTTTTACATCTTTATTATTGCTCAGAAATTGACCGTCTTTCATTTTAATTAGCTTGTTGAAAGATTTTCGCTTATAAAATAATAAGAAACAATTAATTAAAATAAATTAACATTTATATTTGCACATAATACATTATAATCCCTCTCCTTTTCTTTTTATCTCCCTCTTTCTTTTTTCTCTCTATCCCATCTTCTACATTATAACATTGAATATGCTTATTTTTACTATCAAGTTAATAAGTTATAATAATATAACGCCGAGTAGAAATTCTAATTTTTAGTACAAACTAAAATTAATTTTTTAAATACTTTTGGTAAAGCAAGATCTCAAGATCTCAAGATTAATTGTATCAACGGACTGATTGCAAATCGACAGCTTGGATTAGCATTATTATTTATTTCTTCGAGATCTAAGGATTAACTTTATCAAGCTTAAACAGATTGATTGCAGTCAAAAGTTTGCATCAGCATTATATAAATGTCTACTGTAATTAAGATACATTATAGAAATATATACAATAATAACTGCACAAAATGCTATGCATTTTTTAATAATAACGAATTAATTATTTACAGATGTTAAAAATACTGTCATCGGGAATTGAACATACGATAGAATGGTTTAAGTGTTAAGTTTTAAGTAATGGATAGAGCATTTGTTGTGAGAAAACGATTTTCGATATGTTATAATCGTTAAGGAGGAAAATCAGTGTAACAGCTTTAGAAAAGACTATTTAAAAAAAAATTTTTTTTGACAAATAATTTTTTCTAAATTACTTTACTAACATCACAAAGTACATAATTTGAACTACTTTTTGTGAAATTTTCGTGAAAAAATATTAGATAACATTTATAGCTACAATAATCACAGAGTCGCCTAAAAAAAATTATGTCAAACGGGCGCATGCGTAGCGGACCAACAGAAGTTCTGAAACAAAAAAGACAAGTATTTTCTAAAAATATGAGACAATAGTTTTAGTACGTTGCACGTACGGATTTAAAAAAATTATAATTTGTTACAAAATGGCGAACTCTTGAAAAAAAATTGGTGAAAAATTGACCTGTTTTTTAACGTTATAAAAACAAACAAATTATTTAATTGAAAATTCCGTACGTGCAACTGAAGATAATCTAATTATAAGCCTTCACATAAAATTTTAAATGCATTCGTTGAAAATTCACTAAATTATGAGTGTACTCAGTTTAAAAAAATCTTGTTTTGAAAAAAACGCATTAGTTTTAAAACAAATTATTTATGTTATAACGTTGGAATTTTTTAACATACCATAGCGCATCTACTCCAGGACCATAAAATAAGTCTCCCAAATTATATGTTCAGCATCCTCCTCTTTCTGTTCATTTAAAGTATGCCTCTGTTGAAATCTAGTGTCACGCGTCGTTGCTTTTGGTTTTCGCTCAGCAGCGGAAATACGGAGCGCATTCTGCTTGTCGCGGTATTCGGTTACTTGTTGTCCAAATTTTATCTTTAGAACTTCCAATACTTCCAATAATCCAGTGTACCCTTCGTTAAACTGGATTACAGCTAAATAAGACCCCATCATATGCATTTCAGCGATTTTAGCTTTGCCTGAAGTATTTTTTGGAGCATATTTCCAAACAAGAGCATTAAAACTCTCGTTATTATTTTGAATAAAACCACTGAAGCATCTTTTTAACAGTCAAACATAATAATTAGATAGATAAATAAATAAATAAATGTTGTCTATAAAGACACTCCGAACAGCTGAGAGCGGTTTTCGAACGTTGAGCGACTTCTGGAAGTTCTATATTTAGTGGTGAACAAATATATGTTGCTCTTTCATGAGTAACTGCGCTCAAGTGGGTTATCTTATAAATTATGATCCTTTATCTGTAACAGCAAATGAATTAGCAATAATTAAATACCACAGATTGCGAAAGCAGTACAGATTAGTAAAATGTAAAATGTTAATATCGCTAAACAACGTCATCGAAAAGTACATGACTTGGGCAGTATCAGAAAATGTCATAAAATGTCAAATTGATAATAATAATGATCTTATTGGTTTGTGGAGTATATGAGGATTACAAAATGACGATAATGTATTATACTATTGATGCTTCGACTCAATGTATTATTAATTCTTCTATTCTTAGAAAAATATTTTCCTATATTATTATATAGAAATTTATAATATATATTATAAAATAATATTATCCGCTTTGAAAATAACAATGTTATGAGAAAATTGACTGCTATATTTCAGTTAATAAAGTTCTAGATATATCTCCAATACGTAGACTGATAGGTGATCAATATCTTCAAAATATTAACCAAGACCAATTAAGCTAGTCAATTTATTATAGATTTTATTAATAGCATAGATAGTGTAAAAAGTACAATCAAGCACGAATTATGTACAACTATATGATGTAGTAGTTATACGAATATAGATATTCAACCAAATTATATTCTATTATTTAAATTGTCTTTAAATTGTCTCAGCAGTGGTCGCTACAAAACGTCTCTAAGAAAAAGTGTTTACAAAAAATTGACATCTTTTATATTCTTCATTATTTTTTTATCAAAAAATTCTTATTATTTCTAAAAAATGTATTATTTAAAAAAAGAAAACTTTCATCAAATAAAGTTTGTAATTTTTTCCACAAAAAATCCCGGAAATGCATGTTTTCTTAATGTATCTATACTGTCTTTTGTATCTTAAAAAAAAGAAAGAAAAGAAATTTCTGTATCTCTCTTCCTGTAGTAGTAAAAGTTACTTTTAAATCCTTTAAATAGGTTAAATATGTGTGGATCTCGTCCTTCGCATATATCGATTTTTATCCCAATTCTATCTTTTCTAATAATTATTCTAAACTTTTCTTTTAAAAAAATCGCTATTTTTAATAATTAAATAAGTTATAATTTTTAACAATCCAGTATATTAAGTTCGCCAATACATATAAATAACAACTTCAAAAAATTACTCGACCCCACTGGCCATTGGAAAGCAGAATGGCTCTATCCACAAGATTCGGTCAACCTCCAAAAAGACACGGAGAATTTGCCCGCAATATACGATCGAGTCATCGAGGCTGTATAGGATTTCGGTTTGTTTTTGTATACTTTCAGAACACGGTAACTTGTTTGATCTTAGCCTGTCCTGCGGTATTTTGGGAACACGACTTAATTGTAATGTAATTTGTCATTGTGTATGATTTGTGCCAGTGCGACTTTGAATATGGCACGTTGTGGACCGTGTGGAGAAAATAAATTTCTTCACGGTCACGCTAGCGATGTTCGCGAGTTTTACAATCTCACTCCTTCGATGCAACAATTATGTAAGCTTCTACGTTTTAATTCTGATATTCCTTCTGTGGTTCTTATTTTTGACATTTTTGACGTATTCGTTTGACATATTCGTTTTTAGTTTTGGCGTGCGCACGATGTGGTTTGGACGCGGTGTCTGGCGACGCGTGATTTGGTTGTTGCTTGATGTATAATGTATAACATCTCACTTGAAAAGGGCCTGATTGAGGCCGAAACGTTGTGAAGAGGAAGAATAAAGAAGTAATGGCCAGTAGGGTCGACTAATTTTTTGAAGTTATTTTCTAATCTTTACTTTTGGTATTATTATTTTAAAGTTCTGTTTTCCTCAACAAGCGAATTATTTTACGTTAAATTTTTCAGTTCTGTTGAGACAGTAATTCGTATACTTTGATTCAACATACTATTGTAATATTATTGTTTGCACGTATATCCGTCACTTAAATGGAACTTAAAAAGAAAATACACGGAAGTGTCCCCTTCCGATATTGATGAACTTTTAATACATTGTATTTTAGATCAAAATAAGAGATACGTATTTTTTTATACGTGTCCAATTGCACGTTTACGGGGTAAAACCTCCCTTTAAAAAAATCGGTCTTTTTCTTTTTTAGAGCGAATATCGTTGAAACTATAAGATAAAAAACTACACTAGGAAAAATGTTTTGTTGTATGAACCAAAATTTTGTTGTAACAACAAAATAATTTAATTAAAATATGCCCAACAAAACTAGTCAGTTGCTGTAAATAAATATCTTTGTTGCTTATATTTTGTTCTTATAACATATTGCTTTTGTTATAACAACCAAAAATCTTTAACTACGTAAATTTTGTTATGTTGAAAGCGTTTGGTAATATAAATTGCTTTATTGCATTATAATATTTTGTTAGTATATAAAGTCTAAATTTTAATGCATAGAAAAATAAAATTGTACTCATTGGACATTATTTCAGTTTATGTAAAAGAAAATTTCATTATTAGTAGTATTTACGCGGGTAAATAACTAAAATGCTTAATTTTTGTATGTGAAGTCTAAGAACAAAATTATTTGGTCCACAGAACAAATCAGAAAAATACATTTAGCACAAGTAGCTAAATAATTTGTTAAGAAAAACAAGATATTTGGTTGCTGTTAAAAACCGTCTCAACTAAACAGTTTTGTTGGAGGCACTAATTTTTTTTCCTAGTGTACTAGATAGAAAACTAATAAATAGAAAAATAATTTTTAAATAAAAATGAGATAATTTTAAGAGTACTTTAAAACAATAAGAGAACATTTTTTGTTTTTTTTTTTAACTTTTATTATTTAACATTTTTAAAAATAAATTTTTTTATCTTCAAGTTAAAGGTTTTTTACTATGAATTCAACTATATAATAAAATATAATAAAATTATGTTTAAAAAAACCATTTTCGGGATTTACAAATATCTCGGTATACACACGCTATTCGTGCCCGTTCACACATTCTTCACGCAACACATTCTATTTGTATCTTTACGTAATAAATCACGATGATAAATACATTTGGAGGACATTTTATATATAATTATGGAAGTTTTTATCGTGCACAGCTAGAATGACATTTACATAACAGTTACACATATAGTATATAAGGCTATAAGGTCATGATATTTCAAGATATGAAAATGAAATATGACTGATACAAAGTGCTCGCGCGGTGAAATTATATAGTTATGGATATTTTTAATTCGACATTACTAGTTGAATTATGTAGACTTATGTAATGTTGCATTTATATTTATTATACTTATTATTCTGTGTATAAATAAAATTAGTATCTTACTACAATGTTAAGGTCCCCTGTCGTGTTTCTATTTTGTGCTACTTTAGTTTAATATGCCAGCAAGAAAAATTAAATTGCAGTAAAATAGAAGATTAGAGATGAATGATATAACAAAAGTTCAAAATAAAGTTAACACGCAAAGCAATATATTGTTGGATAAGCAATAATATTAAATGCTGTCACTTTGCGAGCATTAGTTCAGCACATGACATCATTTTATCGTGTATTAATCAGTGTAATTTTGTAAGTATTAAATATATTTATTATATTATGAAAATATCTATTAATGTTTGTACTTCTCATCCAATTTACCTTTAATTTTTTAAAATCTGGTTCTATTTTAAACATGCGTACATATTGTAGCTTCTTTGAATCTTTGTTCTTTATGAGGTTTTTTTTATAATAATAATCCTGTGTGATGTGCATATATATTTCTTCTACAAAAGTTATACGAAGTATCAAAAGATGTTTCTTCGAAGTATTATATAATATGCCAAATAATTTTGATTTTCTGTAATAATTGATTTAAAAAAATTAAAAGTAAAATTAAAACGTATAAAAATTATATATGTATAAAAATAAGAAATATATACATTAATAAAAATTTTAAAAATATCAGTATATACTTACAAAGTTGCAGCAACTTATATAAATGTCATTCTAGCTGTGCGTGATAAAAACTTCCGTGATTACAGAAATACATTTGTTCCCTTGACGCGAGTCGGCCAGTTGCGAGTAAGTGAGAATATTGGACTCTATCTAAGAAATGGCTAGACCGATCGAGTTCCTGTTAATTGTAATCGATATAGCTTGGGGGTCTGAATTATATCACAAAAATATTTTTAATTTTTTTCTATTTGCCCGCAGCCTTGAAGATATTACGATACAAAGTTTTAATATTGAAATATCTATTTAAGAAACGTTATTATCCCCGTCATCATACCATTCTGTATCTCTTTTTGTTACATATATCTATAAAACTTCTGTACAGTTACAATTTTCCACGCGTGCAATGCTCGCAGTTATGCTATCAGCGTTCTGTCATGAAACCATTTAACAGGTTTTTGAAAAATGTCTGACAATGAGTACTAACAGTTAATATTGAAGTAAATATACCGAATAAGGGACCCACCTCCGATGACCTTAACCTTGATATATGTTGTCAAGGACATGATCCTGAGTAACTTTCCTTATAACTTAATTGTCGCTCATTGCTTATTTAAAAGTTATCAATAAAAAACGAAGCAGTTACTAATAGTAGTAATGTCCTTCACACGTACCAATTCAGAGTGTTTACAAAATTTTACAAACAGAGAAATAAATAGTATGCTCTGCTTTCGGGGTGGGAATACACGTGTAGGGGGATAAGTGGAGAAGGACCACGGTTCACGTAGATGGTTTTCTGGACAGCATTGTACTTTTCACGCAAAACAAAGTTCATCCTACCCCACTTATAGAGCGAAACAAGGTCTATTATTGTACGATTCGGGTTTTCAACTTTCCACGCGAAGCGAGGTCCACCCCTACCCACCCCTGCTTTCGGAAGAGGAGCAGTCCTTCTCTCGCCTACATGTGTACTGTCTATACACACATATCAGCAAATTACTTTCCTTAGTATCGACATAAACTGTTATATTTCTCAAACTTGTTTTGTTCATAACTTTTAAATAAGCAATGAGCGACGATTAAGTTATAAGGAAAAGTTACTCAGGGTCATGTCCTTGACAACTGTGGGTATGTCAGTACTTACGGTCTCAGCCCTACAATTTATATTGTGATCTAGTGACGCCCGAAGAGAACCTGCGAGTTATTTTTGGTTTGTTTTGGGGGCCCCGCGAGATGCGGGGCGACGTGCGAAGCACGTGTGCAAGGCGCCCGGAGTGTATTGTCTCCGGATACGCTATGCAAGGAGAAGTTATTCTCCGAATAACTCCCTTAATAAGGAGCGTCTCCGACTGCTGATCCTAGTGTATCATTTAGGAATCAAGCCCTTGCCCGGAGTCCTAGTCATCCGTTTGGGCGTGTTTGGCAGCGGACTCGGTGGATCGAACACCACCAGTGTAGGTGGCAAAGAGTCGGTCTGCGTCTGCTGGCACTTCTGCTTTGGTGCGCTAACTCCGTCAAGTGATGTTCCCAGGAGCGTAGTTCTGGCAAGCCCGACAGGTCAAAAGGGATTAACTTCTACTCTCGGAAAGATTCCACTTTCTTTTCGAGAAGTGGTTGAAACGTCTCCGGCGTTGGCTTGATGGAAGGCCGAGTCCTTGGAGCGGCCGGCGGACTTGAAGCAGGCGGTTGTCCGTGGTTGGGACAGCCACGCTGCTTCGTGATAGCTTGCCGAGTGTGATGTAGTTTGAAACCGAAGGCCCGGAGCTCTCTCTGTCATCAGAAGCCTGGGGCACACCCCGTTTTGCAGAGGCCTAAGAAGCTTGCTGATTTAGAGGCCCTCAAGGAACTTGCTCTATAGTTCCGTAGGAACTGTTTTCTAACCGTAATCTCGATTGATAGCCCGTTGTAAAAGCGTCTCAAGTTGAGAGAAGGCTCAGCAGGTGGTCTTCTTATAGTTCCCCAGTGTGATCTGACGCGGCGGCTTGGCCGTACGGCGTGCTCGAGCGGCAGCTCGCCAGGCGCGTAGCTTCGCGGCGTGGTGCCCCGTGGTGCTATGAAAATTTGGCCGCCACATCACCCCCTTGGTTGATTTAAAGTCCGTCTTGAAAACGGATTGGTGGACGTGACGCTCGTCCGCTTCTCGTACGTGTTGGCTGCGTCTTCTCGGGGCTTTGCTCGCATTAAGGCGCTCCTTCTTCTTCTTGTTCCAGCACGTAAGCCGGTTTCAGCCTGTCTACCGATACTCGAACAGCTCGTCCGTTTATGCGGAGTTTATTAGCCGTATTCATAGTTTTTTCTTGAGGAATAAAGATTTCTTGTTTCTTATTAGTTATTCTACATTTTATTAACCTTCCTTGATCGATCAAGGAACCTTAAAATTTATGAAGTGTAGAATAAGGAACAAGAAATCCCCCCTTACTCAAGGAAGGACTATAAATACGGCTATATAAGTTTTCTCTCCTCTACTGAGGACTTGATAAGACTATGGTGTCTGGAAAGCTCTTGTCGGCGCGTCATGTCTCAGAAAAACTTGCTGTGATGTAGCTAAGTCCTTGTGTATAAACGTAGTTTTTTGACCATGTCTTCTAATTTTTGGTCGTCAGTTTCTCATTATTTTCTTTAATTGTGTAGCAAAACCTTCTGTCATATGATCCTCTGTGTTTTCTTCGTCCAGAAATTGTCCAGGTAATTGTATGGATTCCCCATAGATTATTTCCGCTGGTGTGGCTTGAAGACCTTCTTTCCAGGCAGGTCTGATGTTCATCAAGGTTAGCCTTACTATCGTTAGGCAATATTTGTATCCCAGTAAAATTGGCATCGGGCCCACTATATCCACATGGATATATTGAAATCTTCTTGTGGGCGCTAGGAAATTTCTTGTCAGTGTGACTGTATGTCTAAACATTTTGGTTTTCTGATACTGCAAGCATGCTTGTGCCCATTTGCGACTGTCTTGTTGTATGCATGGCCATACATATTTCTGCTTTACTAGTCTCGTCGTTGCTTTAATCCCGGGATGCGCCAGACCATGCAGGGCTTGAAATAACTGCCATCTAAATGGTTCAGTGACGAAGGGACGCATGACCGGTGTAGACGTATCACAATAAAGTGTCGTTGAAAAGCCTGGTATTTAAACTTGTTTTAATTTTAATGACAACTGTTTGTCACCGTCTAAGATTTCTTTCAGCTCTATGTCTTTCCTCTGTATGGCACGCCGTTTTGCTATTTAATACTATCATAAAAATTCTACCAAATTAAATTGATACTCAAAGAAAAGAAATTATTTTACGTCTAGACATATTTATAATTCATCGAATTATTATTAAGCTATTACATAATTGAAAATGCAGAATTAAAATTATGTCTAAACAAAATATTAATTCTGAATTTATTTTATGTTATGACATAAAATTTTTTCGGGAATTAAAATTATGCACATAATTGTAATTGCCGATTTTGTATTATGTACATAATTTTTAATTCTAGAATTTTTATTATGTACATAAATTTAATTTTAGAATTTTTATGTACATAATTCTAATTCTTGAATTTCTATTATGTAGGGGAGACCGGGGTTAAAACGTCTACGGGGTAAATACGTCTAATCAAATATCTCGGAATCTGTATATTGTGCGAACTCGCTATTAACATTGTAAACGCTGCTTATAGTACTCATGTGACCAACGGAGTTTCGGCAGGTTACCTGCCGTGTTATGATTTTTACGAGGGCAAACGTGTTTTCGGAAAGTGAAAGTTACATTTTCTGCGCGTGGAAATTTTGTAATATCTGCAATAATATTTGCTCCCCAAATCTCGAGGTACGTGATTATAAAGAGTAATGCATGGTGAACACGAATCCAGTGTAGTTTTTTCATTATCGTTGACGTCTAATATTTCGTGGGCGATCAAACCTGACTTATGTTTGGGGCTAATCGGTCAGTAAGCAGTCCGAGTGCATTTCCAAGGCATTTTTGGGCTCACTGCATATGGAATATGAATGAGACGGGAATTACAACCGTTCAGACACCGAATAGAGTCATCGGACGTCGAGGGGTGAAACAGTCGGGCGAGTGACTTCTGCGGAAAGAGGAACCCTCGTAACTATTTTTTAATAATGTTTTGCATAAAAATTTTAAATAAATTTTTATATTTTTCTCTTAAAAAACAATTATTAAAATGTATCCTATTATTTTTTAGGATTAGATGTACGTATATGTATTGAAAATGCAGTGCAGACTGTTATACCCCGGCATTTTTGAGATTTTAATTTTTCCACCGTTGTCGTTTTTGCTCTATACCGGTTAAACAAAGCGACGTAGACAAAAATTTCCTATATAAATTTTGTAGCTAAAGGTTCACTCTTTACAGTGGTATACCACATTTAACTACAATTGTTTATTTTGTTGTTAAAAATCGGCACCGAAAAAAAACGGACTGTTTAGCCCCGGTCTCCCCTACATAATTTTAATTCTTGAATTTCTATTATGTACATAATTTTAATTCTTGAATTTTAATTATGTACATAATTTTAATTCTTGAATTTCTATTATGCACATAATTTTAATTCCCGAATTTTTATGCACATAATTTTTATTTTTGAATTTTTATGTACATAATTTTAATTATTGGATTTTTATTATGTACATAATTTTAATTCTTGAATTTCCATTATGTACATAATGGAAATTTAAGAATTAAACTTATGTACATAATTTTAATTCTTGAATTTCCATTATGTACATAATGGAAATTTATGAATTAAACTTATGTACATAATAGAAATTCAATAATTAAAATTACGTACATAAAAATTCAAGAATTAAAATTATGTGCTGTGACGTTGCGGCTCGGCGCTTTGTGGCAGTGCCCCGCCGCCGTCACAAGGCGCGGAAATTCGCGCCCAGGGACGAGCCAGAGAGGCGACGACGAGATCTCCAGAGGTCAAAAATTTATATCATTTCCGCGTTTTGACTATTGTTTTATTTTTATGTAATCGTAATACGCGCGGCGCCTCACCCCACCACGACGAATCTTCGAGGGAATACACCTAGCGGAAGGGTCCGGGAGGACCAAGGACCGAGGAGGGATGGCGAGGCGGAAAGCGGAAACCACTGGGATTCCGGGCGGC